CTCATGAACATGGTTGATTTTGAAAATGGATATTTTGCTATTGTAAACAAACAACAAATTCAATGTCCTTATGACTAAAGCTAACATTATTATTATAAATGAGTTTTATCACTGTTGTCATATTGAGTGCTACAGTTAGCTTCTTAATATTTCCAACTGGGAAGCCATGTCATCAGAACAGTCCCTTCTAATGGCACCGGTCTTTATCCTAGCTCTCACCTCACCTCATTAACTGCAGCCTATCTGAGCTGTTCACCTATTCATTAAAGTTCCCATAGTGCACCACTGCCTTCTTTAAAGTAATGAAATATTTTTAACCTAATGTTCTCTGCAGACAAACAGTGACGATGAAGCTCCGGTTTAATTTCTCTTTGTTTTTTCTTAACCTATCACAGACTCTGCTGAAGGTCAACTTATTTTACACTTGTCTTAAAATGTCATCACTCACTGTAATGAGTGCTCCCCGCTTTAACAGGAGCTATAGTTGGAGTATAATTAGCCTACAGTGAATGGGCAGGAAGAGTTACATACAAACTCCATTTCCAGAAGAGAATTGATAGAAAAATGATCATCTGCTACTTTCAAATATACTTTAATTTAACAGGTGAAAAAGAAAACTGAGATGTTCTCAATAATAAATATGTTAAATATTTACTCAAATAAATTGCATGTAGCTGTTTGACAATACTTCTACTACACGCTATAGAATTAAATTTATATTTTATTTTTATATTAATTACTCATGATCTACCAACATTCTCACTGTGATCCACTGCTTGGTCCTGATCTTATTGGTCAGCCTTGATTTAATGACCAATCTCTGCATCATGTCATGTGAGAAGAAGCTACGCTTCGAGTCTGTTCAGAACCACTGTCACGTCCTCTGGGCCAGCGTCTAACTGAGATAACTAAAAGTCAACTGAAACATGTTCTGTTGTCCGAAAGGTCAAAGTTTAAGCTTGTTTTTGTTTAGAAAAAGGGTTGGTGTGAAAAGTAAAAGAAAAGGGCCCTGCAGCTGTAACCATACTGGAACTGCATGAGTATGAAAATATAACTGTCAGACTAACACCTTATCCATGAATCAAACCAACGTGGCTGTGCTTGAC